AGTAGTAGTAGCAGTAGTAGTAGCAGTAGTAGTAGCAGTAGTAGTAGCAGTAGTAGTAGCAGTAGTAGTAGTAGTAGTAGTAGTAGTAGTAGTAGTAGTAGTAGTAGTAGAGGGGCGCCATTGGCGGAAGTTGAATCCTTCACCGAAAGCTTTCCCAATTCATCAAATGTACCGTAAGAAAGGTAGAATGAAGAAAAAATAAAAATGTCTGTGCAATGATGGCCTACTGTGTGTGTAATATTATGTATTTTCGATTTCAAACGTGACTCAGAACCAACAATTAATTTTCTTGGTTTCTTCCCTTTATTGAATGAAGACGAGTTTTTACTTGTTGCGCCCCTTGTCATGGGCGTCGTCGCCGTTTCACAGTCAACACAGGATCCGGAAGTTGTCATTATTGACATCAAAACATAATGCGACAGGTCTTGTGCACTTGTCCTAACGTCAGTTCTTCACCAGTAGATAGCAAAACGTCGGTGAAATGATGTGAACATTGGGAAGGAGAAGTCTTGAAATGTTGCTTCTCTGGCGGTAGTCATCGTTTGATTGTATTGTATTGGCTTTTGGTGAGTGCTGTTGGTCTGTCTCGTACGCAGTTTCACGATGTCGTGTTATCGATAGTTCCCAAAAACTACCATCAGTCATCAGTCACTGCTACTGACTGCTAGTGCTATGTTACACACCGTGTCTGTGTAACGCTGTGTAACACAGTATCGTCCTCTCAACCACCCAGATAAGAACAAGCGCTACCTGTCAGCAACTTAAGCTTGTGTAATGGAGTTTCATATATAAATATCCCCCTGTAACAGAAACATTTTCCTCCACAGCAATCTTCATTGTTGTCATTGATATTGTTTGTGTTGTCTGACCAATTTTGTAAAGATTCAATTTCAACGAGATAATGGCCCCAATTGACCTATTGCCTCTATACTAGACTATACATTACATGATCTAAATCTAGATCTAGATCTAATTTTGGTGTGTACACTTCCCCCCTCTCTTGTTTATCTCCTCACAACACCTGCTTGTCTTGTGCCCAAAATACACTACTACGCCGTAGGCCTAGGCCTAGCCCACAGTAGCTCAGTTCACTTAGCCCTACTTTTCTCGTCAAGAGCCACCTTCCTTCAAGTTCAGGTTCAAGAGTCTTCCAGCTGAAGGAGTAAAGGGGGGTTGGAGGGGGGGGGAGTGGGTCTGAGCCACTTTGCAATAACATTACTCCCCCTCTCCTGTGATTGAGCACTGGCACACTTGAAAGCTGTGATGCTGCCTTGTCAGCCTTGTCAATTTCTATGTGACAGCATTGATACTGTAATGACACTTTCTGCGATTAGGTCTCGTGAGTGTGTATTTGGTGTGTGTCAAGGGTTTGTCTGAAGGGGGTGGATGGGTATGTGGGAAAATTCAGCTAGCACCAACCTCCGCATTATAATAGTAATTATTTTACAACCAAGACTTGCCTCTCAAGGGGGTTGTTGTAGGTGGACACCACTACTTTTGTGCCTGTGTGCCAGCTACCCCTTTTTCCCCTAATTACTGTCATTTAAAGAATGAAAGTGGCTATTCTCACCCGCCCGGAAGTTCTCGCAAGATCAACTCCTCCCCTCTTCTCTCTCTCTGTGTCTCTTTCTGAATACTGTCTATCGGTGTGGACGATCAAATTGACCAAAACAAAGTTAAAAAATGATGTTAAAACACAAAAGTAAATTAATTTGGTTGTCTACAAAGATGCTACGGCTATTTAACTTTTCGAATCGAGCCGAACTACGCGGGTCGCCATTTTGTTTTGCCCGGAAATTCTCGCGCTACTCCTCTCTCTCTTTCTCTCTCTCTCTCCACTGCCCACGGACAAAATTGTACGCTTTTAGTAGGCTACAGTTGTAATGGAACGTTTGTTCACGGCACAAAATTCTACAATTTTTCTGTTATCACAGTGTAGAATTCTGTGGTTTAGGGTGAACGCAAAATTTGGTGAACGCGCACCGGATGAGAATAGCCACAAGACTCGCCTGCACTATTCTCACTCTGGGTGAGAATATAGGTGGCCTTAAAGAATAGTTCAGGGGCCTAGTTTGAAAAAGTGTGTTCCTTTGTCCTTTTGTGACTTCTCAGGCATCCATTGCAGTTTGTCATATTACTTTGTTTCTTGTGACATCACATGTCACAAGAAACAAAGTTGTCATGGATTTGCCGTCCACTATTTCTATACCTTGGAGATTTACAGCTCCCTCTTTCTTAACAGTAAAATTTGCCTTCACCTCAGGAACAGGAGTGAAGTTCATACGGGCCCCGCACAAATGGAGCGAAGATACTTTTCTGATTTAATATATGTGTCATAATTGTCGTGACTGTTTATTCTTGGGTTTCCTGCACAGACCATACCATGCTCTTTATGTCGCAGATTAATCAGATTTCTATTTTTAGAACGGATTCTCAGTGCATGCATATATTTTAGAGAGAAAAATTCCATAACAAAGTAGATGCAGGTTTTTGGGTGGACTGGGTTCTTACGCAAGGTATGCTGTTCAAAAGTGACCTTGGATTGTTTTACTTTTTTTTTTTAGGTCAGGCTTTTTTTTTATAGTTTTATTCTCAAAGCATTCATTATATTATAAATAAACACTGCTTGCTTCATTCCAAAATCTTTTCAGAAGTAGAGGGTGGTGATCTTTAACTGTTCATCGTTTTGTATTCTATACATTTAATAAACAAGAAGGGAAAAAACTTTTTCTTTTTAGCTTTATTAGTGAGTTACATAATTTCAAGGTGCTGTGACTTAAAACCCAGACTTTTGCCCTTTTCCCTGACCTATAACTCTTTGCTCTAACAGTTGTGTGTATCAGTTAGCTTGTGGCGTCGGTGGCCTAGTGGTTAGGCTCTCGGACTCGCAACCGTAAGGTCGTGGGTTCAAATCCCGTCAGGGGTCCGACGTTGTGTCATTTGGAAAGGCACTTTGCACAAATTTTCCTCACTTCACCCAGGTGGAAATGGGTACCCGGCTATAGACAGTGAACGGTCTTGTCAGTTTGATAGTGTTTGAGCGCGTGAAATCCACAGCTTGCACTGTATGCTTCTGCGGAAGCCGAGAATGTTTCTGAGTGTTCTCAGAGGGTCTGCTGGGGTAATAATGGTTGTAAAGTGCATAGAACATGCTCTTGAGCATGGATATGCGCTATATAAATGCAATTATTGTTATTATTATTAGCTGAGGGCGTAGGACTCGCAAGGCTGTTGAAATGGTGGAAAATGAATGATAAAAAATATGTTAAGATCAATGTTGTTGCTTTATACATTTTTTCATTTGTTTTCCACAGGCTACTGGGAACCATGTCTAACATTATCCCTATCGTTTCTTCGTCTCCTCCTCCTATGGATGACTCGACTTTCGCCTGGAATGATGAAGATGATGACGACGATTTTGGGAATTTTGCAAGTGCACCAGGGATAAGTAGTTTACATAGCGAGTCGGAGACACAGCTCTCGTCGCCTGAAATACCTTTGCCAGCCAATGGTTCTTTTGATAAAGAAGATGTGCTGGAAGAGAAAGAAACGAATGGTATGAAAAATGGTATAGTAGATAAAACATCTGCTTCTTGTGCAAAAAATCTTGACAATACTGCCTCTAATGACCATGCTTCATCGGAGGATTCAGCTCAGAATCATTTTGAGCCAGAATTTGAAGGTAGCAAAAGCAGCCACACTACTAGTGAAAATGACATTGAGTTTGAGGCTGACTTCCAACAGTTCTCGCAGTTCCAGGAAAACACGGAGTGTTCTGACGAGCAGCAGCAGCACAGCACGAGCTCAGGCCTGGTGGAGAGTCGGGAGAATGCGGAGAGCGACTTTGGTTCCGTGGACGAGTCGGAGAATGCGACGAGCGACGACAAGCAGCAGTGCTCCCTGGCCAGAGTGAATAACGAGTCTGTGCACAGCAACGCTTCCACCATGGACTCGGGGGTTTTTGGTTCTGACATGTCCCCGAGTCTGGTGGCGAGTCACCGGTCGGACATTGGTCAGGAGGAAGGAATCAGTGCTTCCGAAAGTGACGGTAAATTGTCATCGGACGAGCACAACAAGGTGTTAGAGGATGAAGATTGTGACAATGATTCAGTTGCCAATACTTCTGAGACGCAAAATGAAGCAGTGAATTCCAAAGGTTGTGATCTTGGTAGCAATGATGATTCAGTCCTAGGCGAGCAGGAAAATCACTGTGGTGTGGAAAGTACGAAGCAAGAGGAAGGGGACGATGTTGACGACTGGTGTGACTTTGACTCTGCTCCTTCCGTCAGTGTTGATACTTCTCAAAATTCTGTACCTGAGTTGCAAAAAAGTGATATAAGTGACTCGTACGGTACCTTACAGCAGTCTTCTGTAGCAACAGTATTAGATAAAGACTCGTTAGTGACCACATCCGTAGCCTCAGACGGTGTTAGTCAGTCACTACCTCAAAGTAGCTGTGACAGTAAAGATTCTGACGGTGCAGACGTGGCCGTTTCATCTGAGTGTTCTGAAAAGAGTGTTCGCCTCGACCGGTCAGAAGGTTCATTAGATCAACATGAAGTTTCTGTCTGTGGTGATGCACGTGCTGAAGAAGGATATGAACGATTGAGTGACGGGGGCGGTGAGAGTTGTGAACTTTCCAATTCTGATGATGAGGGGTCAAAACATTCCAGTAATCTCAGTGCTGATGTAGAGTCAGATCTGAGCAAAAAAGTCCACGTGAATGAAACAGAGGATGCGTCTGGAGATGAAGATGGTGCAGCAGCTAAAGTTACAGAGGAAAAAATGGCAGAAAGTTCGAGTCCCAAAGAAGAAATCCCACCAGAGGTTTGTGAACAAATTGGAAAGACAGAACAAGTGGAGGAGGCTGCTAGTACGAGTAAAGTGTTTTCAGAGGAAGACAGTCAGCCAGAGCCAAACTTCCAGGAGTCTGTTTCCCCGGAGGAGGATGGTGACGATGAGGACGGAAAAGAATTTGGTGACTTCAGCTCTCACCGCGATAGGAAAGAAAGTGACCCTCACGAAGAAGTCACGCCCATTACGTTCAGAACGAGCGTCTGTGAACCGGAGGATGAGGAAGACGATTTTCAATTTGAGAAGGAGCAGCCTCCTGCTTTTGATGATGACGATGATGACGACGACGATGATTTTGGAGATTTCGGCGCTGCACCCATAGCTGGCTCCACTGCGGCAGTTTCGTCCGTTGTGGCAGCGGCTGATGACTTTGGCGACTTTGGGAGTGCGGAGGCAGGAGATGATGCAGGGTGGGCAGATTTTGACAGTGCACCACCGGCGCCACCAACTGCTGCTGATACGGAATCCTTCGGCCATTTTGAGGATGCCAGGACAGCGAGCCCAGTTGTCATGGCTACAGATCAGGTTGGTTGTCACGCTCTTTCTTCCATTGTGGTGGTTAAATTGTAATTGAAATTATTTTGGGTTATAATTTTCTTTTAAAAAAAATGAATGTTGCAAATGGTGCTTGCTGCTTTCAGACTGTTCCCATTTGCCTCACGCATTTTCTTATTAAATGAAAACTGAAAAGTAATTTAGATGTCTATTGTGCTCCAGACTATTTTATGAGATGCTGGAACCTTGTTTAAAAATGTTCATACCGTCGGGCAATGTCTTTCCAAGACGACCTCCACTGTCAGGAGGTAATCACTGTGTATCTTTTTTATTCATTGCTCATGGATGTTGAAGAGTATTCAATGTATTTTATTTACTTATTGCTTGTGGATATTGCAGAGCATTAATTCTCTATTTTATTTACTCATTGCTTATGGATATTGCAGAGCAAAGCCGGCAAACTTGAAAGAGCAGTCCTTACTTCATTCCCCGAGCTCCCCGGTGAGGAGCCTGCCAGTGAGGGTGAAGGAGCGGGCGATGAGCAGCTGGAAGGGTCTGTGGCGTCCTCCGAGGGCTCGACCTTGACCTCCCTGAGCACGGTGGTGGAGCTGGGGCTGACCAACCCGACGGAGGCGCAGCAGCAGACGTGGACGGTGGTCCAGCATCCCGCCAAGTGAGTTGTGGGAGCTTTCTTCTCTCTTCTCTCACACTCTCTTTCTCTCTCTCTCTCTCTCTCTCTCTCTCTCTGTCTCTCTCTCTCTCTGTCTCTCTCTGTTTTCCTCTCTCTCTCTCACTCTCTCTCTCTCTCTCTCTCTCTCTCTCTCTCTCTCTCTCTCTCTCTCTGTTTTCCTCTCTCTCCTCTCTCTCTCTCTCTCTCTTTCACCCTCTCTCTCCCTCCCCCCCTCTCTCTTTCTCTCTCTCTTCTCTCTCTCTCTCTCTCTCTCTCTCTGTTTTCCTCTCTCTCCTCTCTCTCCCTCTCTCTCTTTCTTTCTCTCTCTATCTCTCTCCTCTTCCTCTCTTATTGATGCCTTTTTCTTCTTTTCATCTTTCTTTCTTCTTGTTTTCTGTGTTCCTACTCTTTTATTTAAATTTCTCTCTCTCTTTCTTATTCTTTATTTCTTCTCACTCTCTTTCGCTCTCTTCAATCAGTAAAGATCAGTTCTTTCTCTCTATTATCCTTTTTACTGTTGTGCAATTTGAAACATACATAGTTACAAAGCTGTTAAAATCAAGGTCTTGTTAGTAAAAAAAAAGCGGTATGTAGCTTTTCCTATTGCTTTGGGACAGGAAGTTGATGGAAAGTTTGCCAAGTTTCAGCTTCTCACTTAGGAATAGTCAGAAATTGTGCCAGAAATATTTTGATTACCAAAATACCGTTTTTGGGGGTCTTTTGGTGAGTTTTTGGGTTTTTAAAAACTGACTTACACTACAGTCATACATATTTGATACAAAATCAGGGAATTTTTACAAGGAATTGACAAGTCGATGAGTTTGCATACAAGCACGTCTTTTTGTGGAACGGGCTTTCCTTTTTCTGTCTTTAGGAGTGGGTGTTTGGCAGGTGCTCTGGTGTGTGGTTTGCTCCTTCTTTCCTCCTATCAAATATCTAAATGATAATAATAATAATAATAATAATAATAATAATAATATATAATAGATTATTTTTATTTAGTTTATTTCCCTAGGAAATCTATTACCCTTATCTCTCCTCCTTCTCTTCTTTGCTTGTTACTCTCTAGTAACACCTCTAATCTTCCTCACCTATGTAACCCATATGTGTTGCAAGTGGGTGGTTGGTGGGTGCTCTGGTGTGGTTTGCTCCTTCTTTCATATCGAACATCTATCGTCCTGATCTCTCCTCCTTCTTTTTTGTGTTAGTCTCTTACTTGTAACGCCTCTAATCTTTGCCACTTATATGACGTTATTGTGTTGCAAGTACCGTAAAACTCTTACTAAAACCAAAACTGGAAAAAAACCAACTCTTACTAAAACTAAAATAAACTCCCCCTCTTACTAAAGCTAAAACTGAAAAAAAAAACCCTCTTACTAAAACTAAACCACTCTATATTCCCCCAGGAAAGACCCCAAGGTCATGTTGTGGGGTCATCTGAAGGATGTGGACTCGTCTCACGCTCTGGTCTACGGCTGGCCCAGCTCGCACTGTAGCTCCGAGGTGTTCAACACGCTGCACATAGACACCAAGAATGTGGTGAGTCATGGCCACACTTGGGGCAGCGTATGTGAGGCGTGCTGACGAAACGAGTTACTTCTCGCACCCCACAAATGGAGATAATGGCCAGAAATGTGGGTGGTTGGCGGGTGCTCTGGTGTGGTTTGCTTCTTCTTTCCTGTCAAACATCTATCGTCCTTATCTCCCCTTTTTCTTATTTATGTTTGTTACTCTCTTGTAACACCTCTAATCTTCTGGCACTCATATATGACCTTATGCAGTTGCAAGCGGCATAAAACCCTTACTAAAAAAAAAAAATCGGCATTGGGGTCAAATTTGTAGATTTTTTTTATTGATGCCATGTTCTTTAACTAGATCCCTTCTCTATTATTATTCCATACTTATAATATTGTAAGTACTTCACCAATAAAGGTAATGTATCATTTTCCTTAGTGCATGAATCCGAGAAGTAACTCATTTTGTCAGCATGCTTCACATTTCTAGGCTGAGCCTTTTTGTTGTCCCATTTCCCTTTTTTGGGTGCCTTGTTAGTGATCTTATTCTTTTTAGACAATCATTGAGTGTGAAAATGTAAGTTAGTACAATGATATTTCAACACTGCGCTTGAACAATAATAGAATATGAATAAGAATTATTTGATCAGAATGTTGGTATTTGATCATTTATTTAATAAGTTAAAAAAAATGTCCCTTGCTTTTATTGCCTGTTTGAGAGTTTTCTCTTACAGAGGCAGCATTTATTGGTACTGTTTTTGCTTTTCCTACTATTGAGTTGAGTTTATGTCTGGCCTTGTATTCTATCCTGCAACTATTGGATTTAGGTCTCAGTTTCTGTCTGTGATGGTTCATCTGATTGTTCATTGACAAAGTTTACAGGGCAGGGGATTTCTACTGCTTGTGGGTAAATTGGTTGGGAATGAGTTGATGGGGTGAGGGGGGGGGGGGGAAGCGGAGAGGGCTGTTTATTTCTAAAAGATTGTTACTTACTTGCTTTGGTCTCCTTTCAGTCAAATGTCTAAGCCCTTTGATTATTGGTGCTTTTGATAATGACTGGGTTATTCTAAAATAGAGCTCCTAAAGATATGAAATTGTCTTTGCCACGTTCATTGTTATGTGGTACACAAATAATTCCTCTTTGGCTTTCTCTGTGGGTGGTTGGTGGATGCTCAAGTGTGGTTTCCTCCTTTTTCTATCAAACATCTGTCGTCCTTATCTCTCCTCTTTCTCTTCTTTGTATGTTACGCTCCAGTAGCACCTCTAAATCTTTGGCTCTTATTTGTTGTAATGTGTTACAAGTCCAGGAAACTGCTGCTTTTTCTTTCCTCATCCTTACTATCGTCATTTTTCCTCTACTTCTTCTGTATGTTTGTCACCCTCTTGTGAACTGCTATTTCCGGGATGCCTTGATAGTCCAAGCAGACTTTGTGCTGTTGAGGCTAGAGAGGTGAGCAGAGTAATCCTGATTCCCCGTAAAGACTTCTCTGTTGACATCCACCCCTTGGTGCTCATATATATGACTTTATACAGTTGCGAGTGCCGTAAAACCGTACTAAAACTAAAGACTAGGAACGTAGTAAACAGTACTGGTGGAATGACCCATATGTTGTAATGTGTTACAAATCCAGGAAACGTTACTAAGATTTAAGAAACCCTCTGTCTTCAGCTGTTCACTCAAAAGAAGCAGGCTGTGCCGTTCTTCAGTTCCGGCCTGAGTATCCTGGAGCCCATCAGAGGCGGCTCAGACAACAAGAAAGAGAAGAAAAACATTCCCCTACAGCCTTCCTTACTGGACACCAGCAAACAGGAGAACACGCCGCCGCCCGCTGCCCAGGTAATGTACATTTTGTGTGTGCCCGCGTTCTCATTCTCCGCCTCGCTTTGTCTGCCTCTAGCAGGCTTGCCAACTTTACGGAATTTCCCGGGACTGTCGTGGGTTTCGCAGTCGGGAATTTGAGAGCTGTGTCATGTACACTACACCAAAATCAGTCCCACTTTATGTAATTTTGTTGTTACGCAATGTGTTGTAATAACTTTCAGTATTCCTTACTGAGATTTTGAAATAGTTGGCAGGTGTGCTCCAATTGTAATGAAGACAAAGCTGATGGGTATTCATACCTTGGTTTCCTTTTTGCATATCACACCACCAATCTTTGTGTTTGTGTGTACTTATCCCAGAAACTAACTCCTAAATGTGATAAGGGTGAGTCTCACGTGTGTCTACCAGTGTTAAACTCTTATTATAATTAATCAATGATCGTTGTATTGTGCTGAAACAGATGGTGCTGGGTACGTAACTCAAAGTTTGCCAAATGCACATATGTGTTTACAGATTTTTATTTAAAGACACATCTTGTGCTTATGAGAAATGAGAAGAAAATTTTACTTATTTCACCCATTTCTTTTTGGGAAACACCTTTTTTTTCCTTTGCTTATTTAAAGGAAATAGACTTTTTCATTCTTTGGATTTAGCCTGTTCTAATGTACAGATTAATTTGTGTGATTGACAAAAGTAATAGTGGTAACTTTTAACTTATTTGCAAAACTTGATAGCTTTTAACTTATTTGCAAAAGTGAGAGTGATAACTTTTAACTTATTGCTAAAGTGAGAGTGATAACTTTTAACTTATTTGCAAAAGTGAAAGTGACAACTTTTAACTTATTTGCAAAAGTGATAGTGGTAACAATTAGCTTAGGCAAATAATTTATGAAGTTCTGTAACAGTTTGGAGTACACAGGAACCCTAACTTTACTTAATAAAAGGATTGCTTTGGGTCGTATAAATATGTACCGAGAGCAGCATGGACCCTATGGTTCACATTCCAAATATAATCCTCCCATGTATGCATTCCGTGTCTCCTCATATTGTCAGCTGTGTATTCGCAATGCTGAGCTCTGGCTAGGAGGCTTAGTAATGCTTCATTTTTTTCAGACATGATGGCATTTCTTGTATTTCTTTTTCCTATTTCTTAAAATATGCTTCCTTTCTCTAATAAGTGCAGAAAAATGGCTTTGCAAAGAGATAAATTTGAGACGAAAGCTTTGGTATTGCTAAAGAAAAGTGTGGTTAACTTAAGCTTTCATTGAGACGTCTGTTGTTGGCGTGTGTTTTTCGGTTGTGTTTTGGTGGAGAAATAAAGACTGAGGAACACAGTGCTAGTAGCTGGAATGTTGTGATCCTACATTTTTAATTATATTACAAGTGTGTTTCCATTAGGAAAGACATAAAAGTGTCAAATAGGGCTTTCACTTTTCAGCCTCTAGTGCCCATTGGTACAGATTTGTTCCACATTTTGCTTTTGTTGTGGTTTTTTTCTGTTTATTTATTTTTGTGGAAGGGGGGGGGGAATATTGTTAAATCAATAATCTAGACTTTAGATATTTCCTTTGTATTTGACTTTAAAACAACTGAGTTCAGTGTCATGATTTTCAATTTTCAATATTTTTTGTTCTGGACTCTAGAGAGATAAGTCGAGATTTCTTTTTCTGGGCACTAGAGAGTTAAATCCACTAGAGAGTTAAAGTTTCTTGTCACAGTTACCATTGCCTTGATAGTAGACCATGACAAAATGGCTCTTGTTTTCAGGACATTCCACCAGTTGATTTTGACTGGAGGTCGAGCGGACTGACCAACCCTCTCACAGGTATTCTCCCCCCTTTCTATTTTACGCTTCTCGATTATAATCACTGCATCAGATTTACCCAAAAACTTTCATAGATGTATTATTACCGCAGTTTTCATCACTTACTGGGAATGGTGTTCTCGATATTTATATCCATGTGAAAGCTTTTTCTTTCTTTTTTTTTTCTGTTAGCTAGGCTGCCTTAGTATGTGCCTGTAGATCAAGTGTCCAAGGATGCTATTTGTTTCCTTCCTTCAGTCGTAAACGTCAGTCGTAAAGACAGGCTCATACAGTGACATATATGTTTTATCTCCATTCAGATTTGATTCAGTGAGAAAGTTTTTTTTTTTTACGGATCAGAATTAGTTACTGCAGGCAGTTTTGTGAAAATAAATGTGGATAAAGTAAAGTTTTTGTTTTAAGTTGTGAAATTTATTGATTTGTTCTTTGCCTTCTGAAAAACAAAAAACAAACTTTGCTCTTTGGTGCTGGCAGGCAGAGATTTAGTAAGTAGACATTCCTTGATTGTGATGAAACATTGGTTGCTGTGAACAAACCAAAAAAAAAAAAAGCATGAATTTTACTTTCATGCTTTATCATGTCATATGTTGAATTGATGGAAACAGAGGAATAGATATGATTGTTGATTCCTCCTCCTCCTCCTCCTCCTCCTCTCTCTTCTAGTTTGCATCTCTGACTCTTTTTAGCTCTTTAATCTGATTAAGCCGTGTAGAAGTGTGAATGGTTTAATCATGATGAGAACATTTTACAGTAAATTCTCGACACTATTTCCAAACCTTCACACAGCAAATTTGCATATATTTCCATATTCATACACCGCATCCCCTTCTGCTCCCTTTTTTTATAACATCCCATATCTATGTCCTTTATTTACACCAACCCGTTCTTACGAGCTTTATTATGTGTGTCTTTTTTTTTTTTTCGTTGTTGGTGAAGGCTTAAATTTTTTGTCTCTTGTTTGTTTGTTGTTTTTGTTTTTTTTTAAAAGCAAATCAAGGATATTCTTCCTTCCTGTGCCTCACCAAATACATTTGTGTGTTTTTCTCCCGTGGTTTTGCTTTCCTGTCTAATGTGCTTTTGTCATCTTGACTTTTTCGGAGAACAGACGAACGGTATACATGTCGCGCCCTCAGTGCTTTCTTCTTGTCCTATCTCCATTTTATAACAACGGTGAAAACAGTTCATAACAAAGAGAGAGGTGTGGATGGTTGGCGGGTGCTCTGGTGTGGTTTGCTCCTTCTTTCCTATCAAACATCTATCGTCCTTATCTCCCCTCCTTCTATTTTGTGTTTGTTACTCTCTTGTAACACCTCTAATCTTCGGCACTTAATAGGACCTAATTGTGTTGCAAGTGCCGTAAAACTCTTACTAAAACTAAAAGAGGGAGCTTATTTAAGAAGTCACATTTTCACTGTTAAAAAACAAAACAAAATGGAGATGGGACAAGGAAGCACTGAGGTTGCGATGAGTGGAGACTTTTGAGTCATAGATTCGTGTACAGTGGAAATTGTCTCAGGCGGCCACCTGTTGCCAAGGGGAAATGTACTTGTAGGGTCGAGTGGTCGTAGTGGGTCATTAAAATGTAAAAAACAATTCGGAGGGGGGGGGGGAGAGAATGGAAAACAGTCGTTTATACTGATGTTTGTCCTATACAGGTGGCCGTTCGGACAGGTTCGACTGTATTTTGTTTTTACATTTGTATTTCTTGAATTGATTTGATCACAATACTGTCGTGTGCTTTAAAGTTTTGTTTTTGTTTTTCTTTTTCTCTCCCTGTGTCATACGCTTTGAATTTATGTAAATGTTATGAAAGAGGTGGAATTTCCATGGGCTATCGCTGAAAAAGACCAGAATATTTTTTTGTTAATGTGAGGAATTAATGATGGAATGAAGCTTATTTATTGAGAAATTATTGTTTTGCTTTGGGACAAATAAGAATAAAAAGCTTCTAGCGTTCTGAACAGAAACTACAATTTTCTGTTGACTTTTTTGTAAACTATATAAGGAGCCGGACCGAGGCCACAATGCTGCTCTGAAGCGTAAAGAGAACGGCTACCTTTGTGTCACTTCTTTGAGTCATTCCCTGTTTGTTTCCTGATATACGATGTGGCATTGTTTAGATGTAGTCTCAGCAGGCCTGAAAGACGTTAAGTCTGTAACTAAATATCACGTTTACCTTTTCAAATTTGGCGTTACAAAATCAGTGATAGCCCAGGAATGAACCTCGATAAGAACCAGAATTGCACAGAGAAGTATTCCTGCACATGTGAACATATACAGCTGTCTCTCTATACAGCGACCAACTGCACCTCATTAATCTGTGAAGTTTTGTGAAGTCTGTCACATGCCCTCCTGTCTGCTTTGGTTGACCCACTCTCTCCGTCCAATCATCATTCCCCCGATTGTGTGACTTCTGGGCTTCTTCTGTTTTATGATTTTTGCCCCTCTGAGTTGAAGAGCAGGGAGTCCCCTCCCCAAGTGCGGCTGTGTGAAGGATGGCTTAGAACGCCTCTGTGGTTTTGATGCCGGCCTTTAGACTTAGCCTATTTTCTTCTCTTCACTTTTGTCACCAGCCAACACCCTAGACTTAGATTTTCTTGTCGTTCAGGGAAGTGACACTTATGAAAAGACCTCAGGTAAGTTGTGGAACCCTCATGCAGTAGTGTTGTTTTGTTTTATGTTGTTTGGTCTGGAGTGAGTGTATGGTTTTTTACATATTGTCATGGTTTATGTAAATCTTCTCTAGTGATTACTACACAATAGGCTTTCTGTTTGTAGAAAATGTTTTTTCTATCGACAAGAAACTCTTGGACCAGAATTTAACGGTTGTCAGCCTCAAGCCAAATCAAATGACGGTTTTACCGAAGCAATCTGCCTCAAGACTAGTGAGGTTTAGGACAGTTTGGATAAAGAGTTACAACTTGCAGTGAAATGAGTCAAGTTAAGTGTGGAGTATAGGAAAGTGGTTTTCAGAATGTAATAAGGAGAAATGATGATTTGGTTGTAGACTAGAAGACTTCTACTGCCTTGATATACATTTTTGAAATGTGGTACTGTGTAGGCATTCAACGTCGTAGTCTTATGACAGGGGAAATGATGATTTGGTTGTAGACTAGAAGACTTCTACTGCCTTGATATACATTTTTGAAATGTGGTACTGTGTAAGCATTTAACGTCGTAGTCTTATGACAGGTTTAGAGAAGATATTTGTCTGTTTTTTTGTGAGCAGAAGTGAAGGGTTTTGTGTGAGGCTTGGTGTCGTGTCTTATGTTGCTGCCTTATGCTCTGGCTACATCCCTGCCTTATGTTCTGGCGATGTCGCTGACTGTGGAAGGGGGAGGTGTGAAGGGGAGGTGTGAAGGGGCGGGGGCTTTAAGTGTGAGAAGAATTGGTCACAGTTTTTGGGCAGCTTTTTGAACAGATACTATGATTGTTGTAGTTACTTGGTTCTGTAGTTGTTTTTGTTGAGATATAGTTCATTGTGTAGCTTTTTCTTGTTTTTTTTTCTCCGCTGTGCTCTGATAGGAAGGCTCAGTCAGTGGGTCAAAATTGTTCGTCTTTATAGAAAATTGATTATTCATTATTATAACAAATCATATCCAAAGTATCTTAGTTTTGTGTGTTTGAGATGCAGATTTAGCTTTTACGCTCTGTGGTCAGTCTTTTCTTTATTGAAATCAGTTCAGGTTTTGACCACGATTTAGGTGAGCAGTCAGCTGTCGTCTTCTGTGCCATTCTTTTTCTAGACAACACTTTGTGGAAATATTTTGTTCTTGAGTAGTGTTTCAAAGATTCCAGGATTGTGCAATGTGAAGCTGCCCGTCACTGTGAGATAAGAGTCATCTCTCTCGGCAGGGATACATGTTGCTTATTGTGGCAGTCGGAATGGAAATGAGAACTCGGTCTTTCAAAGTAATGACATTCAGGGTGTAATTTCTTTTTGCAGTTGAAGCCATTATGATTTGAACTCAATCAATTTGTAACCCTGCAAATCATTTTGTGTGCTCATATGACCTTATGCAGTTGCGAGCGCCGTAAAACCCTATACTAAACAAAAACAAAAAATCATTTTGAAGGTAATGGAATGGATTTCATAGAAGACAGTGTAGTAAATACTGTAGTGGCAGGTATATATCATTGGTGCCGTAAATATTGTAGAGGCAGGTATATATATATATATATATCATTGGAAAGGTAACTGAATGTTGATGGTCTCTGATGTTACAAAAGCAATGGTATGGTATGGAAATATTGAAACAAACTTTGGACCCTCTTTAAAATGGCGATATCTCGGGGGATACATCGAAATGTGTTCCCCTGGCAGTAAGCATATTTATGTTTTGACGATATATATATATATATATATATATGTTTGAGAAGAGTGAAGATTTATGGGAATACTTTCCTTTTTTGAGCCCTTCCTGGGTATGTAGCCCACACTAATGAAAATGTGTTTGTCGTGTTGTGTTCTATCAGTGTCAGTATCAAAATGAGAAAGAGAGAGTTGGGTTTTTTTTAAAATGTGGGAATGTATGCATTAAGAATGTGTTCATGTTCATGTTTTTGGTATGTGTTTGAGTGACTTTTCAGTGGATGTGGAATGACACGTCTTTCAGTTTTCAGTGTTTAAATAGTGGGTCTTGCGTGTAGAATGAAAAAGCGCACTCACCAAAAAAGTGCATGTAGAAACAGGCATGTTCTAATTTATGCATCATAGCAAAGAAAATCCAGACTAGTTGGACCTGAAGTGGAACATGCCACAGTTTAATATGAAAGCCAGCTTCATTGTTGGTCTGTGAGATAGCTGAAAACTATTCTTATTGTTATTATTATTCATACTATTATTATTATTATATTATTATTATTATTATTATTATTATTATTATTATTATTATTATATTATTATTATTATTATTATTATTATTGTTCGTACTATTATCATTATTATTTCTTTAAAAATTATTATTATTATTATTATTATTTATTGGGAAAAGCTAGTGCATTTTGTCTGCCAATGTGCAGGACTGCCCTGTCTGCCTGTCTGTCTTGTTTGTTTGTAAGTGTGGCACATGCATCGTTACGTTTGTTAAATGAAGCTTTGTGTTTTTGCCTGAGCTCAAAGCAGCAGTGGAGATATCAATGAGATTGATGCGTTCTATGAATTGTTTTGAAGAGCTGAAGATTATTTTAGCTGACTGTTTTATTTTTTAACTAGTATGCAAATAGTAGGTCATTATGAAAGGAAAACTCTTGGTTTAGGGGTTAAAATAGGAGATATTAAGAAGAAAAGAAGGAGGTAGAGATAGTACGTGAATATTATATAGGCCTGGCACATGTATCTTAGTACAGTAGTCTCCGCCTAAGATCCCACCGCGTACGGTCCCGGTTCGCTTAAGATCCCGTTGTTTTAGGAAAACAGAATTTTTACTATACAAAAGCCACCCCTAAGATCCCGCTCTGATGGTCTACATTCGGCTAAGATCCCGCATTTCAGATCATAATTTGCTAAACAAAAACCCGGCGGGCACAGCCGATCAACCAAGAGAGAAAAGTTGAGATCAATAAACTGTCCGTCGCGTCAAAGATCAGCCACTATCGTGAATGTGATCACATACACGTAGTAAAACTCGATGAAGCGATACGATGTTTGCCCCTGACGGGATCACACCGGGGTGTGAACTGACCGACGCGTTTGTTTTCCCCACGCATCGCACTCACACCTGAGCTCGCCACCTAAACTTGCATCACTCGCTGGGTGGGTAGGGCCTACAAGTTCGCTCCTGGCGGGATCACATCGAACCGTGAACTCTTCCTTGACCATTGCAGCAGTTGTCTCTACTCCCGAATTTGCGATATAGACTGAATTTTAATTGGTGTGTCCCCGACGTAATGGTGTGTAACGACAAAGGCGGTTTGGAGGGAGGGGGGTGGGGGGGGGGGGGGCTCGGTCAGAGATGGAAAGCTATAAATTTTTGACAGGTAAGGAGGAGGGGCAATTGGATAATCGTAGATCCTGAGACTCATGATAGGATAATAAGTGGAAATGGCACGCCTCATGCCACTATGCACTGTGATAGGTCATCAACATTAACCACTCTTTGCTCGCCATACGCCATAAACCCACCAAAAGGGAACGTCAGTTCATTGTAGAGTGGAGGGAGACCATTTTACCGTTATTAAGCCTTAACATGGTTCACCATAGATTCTTCCCTGGGTTCGTCGGTTAAGATCCCGGTTCGCCTAAGATCCCGCATTTCCTTGCTCCCGAGCACCGGGATCTTAGGCGGAGACTACTGTATAAGTGATTGTGTTCATCGTTGGAGCCAGTACGTGAATAAATGTTAAAATATAGACCTGACATGTGTGTGTATGTGTGAGTATAAAGGATAGATAGTAGGTGAATATTAATAAGACCTGAAATGTGTCTCAGTATAAGTGATAGACAGTAAGTGAATATTATATAGACCTGACATGTATGTCTCAGTATAAGTGATAGACAGTAAGTGAATATTATATAGACCTGAAATGTATGTCTCAGTATTAGGGATAGACTGTTGGTGAATATTAATAAGACCTGAAATGTGTATCTCAGTATAAGAGATAGACAGTTGGTGAAAATATAGACCCAACATAATATGTCTCAGTATAAGACGTAGACAGTAAGTGAATTTTATATAGACCTGACATGTATGTCTCAGTATAAGAGATAGACAGTAGGTGAATATTACATAGACCCAACGTATGTCTCAGTATAAGAGATAGACAGTAGGTGAATATTACATAGACCCAACGTATGTCTCAGTATAAGAGATAGACAGTAGGTGAATATTACATAGACCCAACGTATGTCTCAGTATAAGAGATAGACAGGTGAAAATATAGACCCAACATATTCAATATGTCTGAGTAGAAGAGATAGACAGTAGAAGAATATTGTATTATGGTGTTCATCATTCTGCCTGTAGCGGGGTTGTTGTACGTCCTGCTGTGCTGTGCACTGGGTTCGAGTTTCCGTCCCGCAAAACTTTTTTTGGGTTTTTTTAAAAAGAAAAAGTTTGGTTTGGCAGGTGGGGTTCAGATAGAGAGCACTGTGTTGGAAGTATAATTATAAGCTGGATAGAACAGTTCTGGATGAGTAAACTGGGTGGGCACAGGTGGGGGTAGCGGCAAGGAAGTGCTGACAGCTGGTCCTACTTTTTTTTTTTAAAATTTTAAATTGTAATTTTTATTTATTGTCCTGATGGTTTTTGTGACTTTTGTTTTTTTTCCACAAAAGTACTTAAGGGAATGGCCTTTGTTTGTGGGTGGTTGGCGGGTGCTCTGGTGTGGTTTGCTCCTTATTCTTTCCTATAAAACCTCTATCGTCCTTACCTCTCCTCCTCCTTTTTTGTGTTTGTTACTCTCTTGTGACACATCTATTCTTCGACACTTATATGACCTTATTGTGTTGCAAGAGCCGTAGAACTCTTACTAAAACTAAAACTAAGGCCCATGGTTTTTGTTTTTTTCTTTTTACAGAGGTACTTAAAGGAATGGCCATTCTTTTTTTTTTTCTTTTTTTTCGAGATGTTCCAGTGGGCTCTTTACTGTAAAACTGATGTTGATGTGATGGCGTAAAAAAATGTCGTGGTTTTCTGTTCTCGGGGGTCTCTCAGTTTATCTGTGTGCCAGACGTTGTTGTAACATCTTTGCTGCCCTGATTGTGAGACATTTGTCCATCTCGGGTTAGGTCGCCTCGTTAAAAACGTCCCGGTATACATTTTGGAACGGAACAGAGACAATTCCTTTGTCATTCCTTTACAGAGAAAAAACAAATCTTTTTATAGGGTTTTAGAATTTGATTTATGGATTCCTGCTTGGGGGGAGGAAAGAAGGGCTTCTGAGATATTCAAGATTTTTATCATCTGAACTTACTCATCTCATAAGTGATTGTTGTCAATCCATCACATTTATTTTATACCACTTAATGAGAGATTTGCATCTCTTCTATGAAGCGGACTTGACACCTGTCCTGTAACTTTTGAGAATACTTTAGAAAAAACTGGTTTATATCTTCAGCTGCGGTAAACTTTTGTCAAGTTCTCACATATGTATATTTTTGTCAGAATTTAGTACTTCATATATCGTTAAACTGAAGCCTGTGAAGCATGTTTCGATTGTGGTTACCATTAAGTGATTATTAAGAATGAGCATGACAGAATATTGCTAATTTACTAATTGGTTTGTAAAGAAACTACGTAAATGCCTTTCATTGATCCGTTGCGTCTGAATTGATGTGTGCCATTATTCAATGTGTGCCTTAGCTGGTCTTGCGTACGTAATACTGTATGTATTAATGGATGTTTATTCTTGTGCCTCTTTCTCCCTGTACGCAAACCGACCACCCTCTCAGATGAGTGGGACTGGGGTAAGACGAGCTGTGCTCTCAGCTTTTTCCACTAATTTCTCACGCATTTTGGTTGAGACTTTTTCTCTCTGAGTTGACTTTTTGTTTGGATTTCTGTTGGTCTGGCCTTACTTTTTGTTTGGTTTTGTTTTAATTCAGCACTGTTTGTGTTACCTTATGTTAATATTTTTTGTGAATATAAAAAAAAAAAAATTCTTTGTTAGTGATTATTTTCCGTTTCATCTTCCATTCTTCACCATTTTCACTTCATGTATTTTTTTTTCTATGTGGTGATCCTGACATTTGAGTAGGTTGTTGTGCGATTAATTTTCCTTTTTAGCGTGTTATAATGTTAACATCTCGCGACCTCAGTGCTTTCTTGTCGCATTCCCATTTTTGATAACACTGAAAACAGTTCATATCAAAGAGTGAGCTTAAGAAGAAGTCACATTTTCTTTGTTTTAAAAAATGGAGATACGACAAGAAAGCATTGAGGTCGCGATTTGTGTAGTGGCCGGAGCCCTGTGGTGGTGTCAGCGTAGGGTGTAGATTGGGAGGTTATTGAGAAGCTGTGGGGGGGGGGGGGGGGGGGGGCAGTTCAGTTCTTGAAAGCTTTTTATGAAACAGTTGTCCGATCCGGAAACTGTATGATTAGGAGTAATCAGTAGGACATCGATATAGTAGACAGACTGGGTTTAAGGCCACAAAAAAGCAACACATGTTTACTAGTCGGCCATGTTTTATAACAGATCACAGGACCTCTTCTACATTGAAAGTTAGGTTGGATTATTTTCGAACAGCAGACTTTGTTCATTACCCGCAGGCCAGATGGCCAGTCAGTATGTAAAGTTATTGCTTAATCCTACAGAAATATTTCAGAAAGTGTCATGATATGTTGTCTTGTTTTGAGGGATGAGATGTTGAGAGAAAATTTTGGAACTGAGTTACTCTTCCACTGGCTTACTTCTTGGTTATCACAAATAGTCATAGTGATGACAAGAGAGATTGCTCAGCAGTATTGACGTGTGGAACAAATCTTGAAACGGTGACAAGTAATTGTCTTTAAGTGAGACTGATTTGTAATGGCTCCAATATCTCATTACTGCAGTTTGTAAGAATACTGTGTTGCCATTGAGTAATTGTGACTTTGTTAAGTGTAAAGAATAACATTACATTGTTTGTACCATAGCCAACCCCCCCCCCCCCCCCCCCAAAAAAAAAAAAAACCCAACAAAAAACAAAAACAACAATAACAAAAAAACAACCCAACATCCCCCCCCAAACCCCTTTTAAAAGCACCTTCATTTTATTTCATTGCACTTATGGGTCATAAGTTCCTTTATATTTGAGTTGAGTTTTCTTTTTGTTTGGAAATTCTTCCCACGCAGGGCTGATTTCCCTGTAATTTTGTTGTTGTCTTTTTCTGTCATGCATCGATCTGTACTTTAGTTATTGTGGATTTCAAAGTTCATCTTTTCTTTAGATTTCATTTTTCATAATTTTCTTCTTCTTTTTGTTACTTTTCCAACGCATGATAATATGAATTAGGATTGATGGTTATATTGGGTGCTGCTTTCGGCACATACTCCTGGAGAGTCAGGTTTTGGGGGGGCCTCTGTCTATAAGGCCTTCAGGACTTGAGAGTATCTCTGACATATTCTTTTCTGTTGAGTTTTCACACAATGAATATATTTATGTAATCTGACAAGTTTTATTTACACCGGTTGTCTTTAGAGGGTTTTTTTTTTCCATTTATGAAAAGAGACTGCATATATGCTTGGATAATTTTGCTCGAAAGCAGATTTATTTAACTGTTTAACTCCCAGATCACTTTGTCAGGCAGTTTTTAAATTAATTTAGCATTATGTGTGCATACTTGTCTTCAAACACCCTCACATTCAAACGTCAGCACATACACACACACACACTCACACACACACACACACACACACACACACACACACACACACACACACACACGCACGCACACACAGACACAGGTATATTCTCAAGCACACCTAGCTGGATGGTTCCAGGTCATTCTGTCAGCTGATTCCTAAGTTCCGATTAAATTCTAGATTCCTCATAGACACCTAACTCTCTGCGTACCTGATAAACCCCAGTTGGATTTTTCCATGGCGTTACAGATTTTTGGCTAATTTCTCTCTAATCTTGACTTAGCTAGCTGACTACTTGAGTGCTTTTACTTGTGTTTCCTTTAAAATCAGAAGTGTTTTGAATACCGTATTTGAAAACTAATTCTTTGCTTTTGATTTGTTGAAGACTTCTTTTCTGTGTGGGTGGTTGGCGGGCGCTCTGGTGTGGTTTGCCCCTTCTATCCTATCAGACATCTGTCGTCCTTATCTCTCCTCCTCCTTTTCTTTGTATGTTTCTCTCTAGTAACATCTCTAATCTTCGGCGCTTGTATGACCTTATTGTGTCGCAAGTGCGATAACACTGTTACTAAAATTGAAACTTTTCCGTTTACTATTCTATGCTGTTTACCGTAGTTTCGAAAGTTTTATTACCTGTGTCTGTGGTGTAGTGCTTATGCTCTTCATCGCGGCGCACAAAAGATATGAGGTCAATTCTCGTCAAAGGGAAGTGTAATAAGTTGAATGATCTGAATTGTTTGAGTCGAAGCGCGTAACTTTTGCACTCATTTGAAAGCTGCTGTCAATTTTTTTGTTTTTGTCTTGGCTGGATGATGTTTCACTGCTTTATATTTCTCTGACTGAAACTTTTTTCTCTATCTAAAACTTTTTTTGAAAATGTCTTTTTTATTTCTTCGAGCCCTCCCCCCATCTTTACTTATCTCAAGGTTTTTTTTCTCGCTTTCGAGGGGAATGAATTCATTAGTCTTGGTTTTGCAATCGTCACGGGAACTCTTAAAAAATCTTTGCCTGGGGTTACTGTTGCTGGCAGTACTTAGTCAAGTTTATTGATTTTTTTTTTTTTTCACCATTATGTCTTGATGAAGTTTTATGAATGCCATTACTCTTTTTGTGATTACCCATTTTTTTACTCTCATTTCTAAATTTTACAGGCATGTTCTATTCCTCACTTACCTCTTTCTTATATTGACATGCTCGTATTTTAACCTCCCATGGTATCGAGAGGTTTTTGATGACATTTCGCCTCTCTCCTTACCCTGTTTTATCATATTGTTTGATTTTGAAATAGACACTCACTAAAAGTGTGTACTGGCATGCTTTTTACTGTGTGCTACTGGAAAAAAAAAGTTTGCGTAGGTTTGCATTTTAATAAAAGTTTGTTTAGGTTCTGCATGTACATAGAGCTTGCTGTAATGTCTGTTTGACTCTTACCTACCATAATCCTGCCATAACCTACCCTGTGTAGGTGAGTGGTGGGAGGGGGCTCTGGTGTGGTTTGATCCTTCTTTCCTATCAAACAACTATCATCCTGATTTCTCCTCCTTCTTGTTTATGTTTGTTCCTCTCTTGTAACACCTCTAATCTTCGGCACTTATAGGACTTTATTGTGTTGCAAGTGCCTTAAAACTCTTACTAAAACTAAAACTAACCTTCCCTGTGTAGGCGAGTGGTGGGTGTGTCTTCCAATAATGCTCAGAGAACACAAGGAAGGGCAAAGAAATCCGTGACAAAAAGAGTTTTCAAGATGTAGTGTGCCTTTTTTTCTTTTTCCCAGTTTTGTATAAAAATCGTCCTCATCTGTTCATGGTGAAGTGTACCCATTATCTTTTCAACATGCACAAGACTACATCTTAGATCAACGACTCCTCTATTTTACATTTTTTTTGTCCTGAGTGGGTGGTTGGCCGGCACTGTGGTGCTCCTTCTATTCTATGAAAGCGCTCATATGACCTTAGCAGTTGCGAGCGCCGTAAAACCTTATACTATACTATACTATTCTATGAAACCTCTATTGCCCTTGTCTGAAACCTCTATTGCCCTTGTCGGAAACCTCTATTGCCCTTGTCGGAAACCTCTATTGCCCTTGTCGGAAACCTCTATTGCCCTTGTCGGAAACCTCTATTGCCCTTGTCGGAAACCTCTATTGCCCTTGTCGGAAACCTCTATTGCCCTTGTCGGAAACCTCTATTGCCCTTGTCGGAAACCTCTATTGCCCTTGTCTCTCCTCTTTCTTTTCTTTGTATGTTACTCTCTAGTGACACGTCCAGTCTTAGGTGGGCACTGATATGACTTATTTGTGTTGCAAACGCCGTAAAAGTCTTATATAAGATAAAACTAAATCTCTCCTCCTTCATTTCTTTGTCTGTGACTCTCAGTAAGTAACACCTCCAATCTTTGACTGACACTTACATGACCTATTGTGTTACATGTGCTATAAAAGCTCTTACAAAAACTAAAACTAAACCCCCAAGTAACGCCGCCTCCCCATCTTTGGCGGGCTCTTCTATGACCTATATGTGTTGCAAGTGCCATAAGAACTCTTACATAAACTACAACTAAACCCCCAAGTAACACCTCTGATCTTTGACTAGCACTTATACGACCTGTATGACCTATTGTGTTACAAGTGTCGTAAAACCCTTACTAAAACTAAAAGTAAACCCTCAAGTAACGCCTCCCGTTCTTCGGCGGGCACTGATATTATACGACCTATTTGTGTTGCAAGTGCCGTAAAACCCTGACTAACACTACTTAAACTCTCAAGTAACGCTTCCCAATCTTCGGCACTTATACGACCTATTTGTGTTACAAGTGCCGTAAAACCCTCACTAATACCCCACAATCTCTCTCTCTGTGTGTGCCCCCGCAGTGTTCAAGGCGGACAACCAGGACACGGGCCGGTCTGGTCTCCAGCCTCTGGAGGACATCCTCAAGCACAGCACGCCCACGGCCAAACTGACCACCCAGGAGTTCCTCAGCCCCGAGGCCACGCGCGTCCTGGACAAGATGCCCAGCCTCAGCTTCATGCAGTCCAAGGTTCTCATGTTTCCCATCAAGCAGTAGGAGGAACGGGAAGGGGTAAAAGATTAAGGGGAAGACCGTGTGGAACCTTAAAAAGTAGATAATAGGAGCAGGAGAAAGGGGAAAAGATCAAGGGGAAGACCATGGGGAACCTGTAGATATCGGAGTTCTCATTAAAAGCAATAGAAGCCGCGGGAAAAGGGAAAAGATCAAGGGAAAGACCATGTGGAACCTGGTTTTTCTCATGTTTCCCATCAAGCAGTAGGGGGTGGGGAAAGGGGAAACGATCAAGGGGAAGATCGTGGGGCACCTGGAGAAGTTCTTCAAAGTTCTCATTAAAAGCAGTAGGAGCAGCGGGAAAGGGAAAAAGATGAAGGGGCAAACCATGTGGAACCTGGAAAAGCTCATCAAAGTTCTCATGTTTCCAAACATGCTGTAGGAACAGGGGAGGGGAAAAGGTCAGAGGGAAGACCATGTGGAATCTGGACAAAATCTCAAAGCAATGGGAATAGCAAAGCTGCCGACTAGTACCTAAAAAAAACCATGCAGAAAACCTCGGCATAACGCACTTTCCGGTTGTAATGTTCACTTTCTGTTCACTTTCTGAAGCTCCAAGTCCCTTTCAGTGATTTTACTGTTTGGCTATACGTACCTTGGCTAAGACGTTCAAAATCTGTGTTGGAAGAGAGTACGTTACACTGAGGTTTTACTGTATTGAATGTTTTTCACTGTCTGAGTACGGAAGTCTGTTTTCGTATCAGAAAATATGTACTCTCTGTTTTCTAGTGTAGTGCTCCTCGAGGACTTGCTGATGTTGTAGTGTCTGGTTGGCGGGTGCTCTGGTGTGGTTTGCTTCTTCTTTCCTAACAAACATCTATCGTCCTTATCTCCCCTTTTTCTTTTTTATGTTTGTTACTCTCTTGTAATACCTCTAATCTTCGGCACTTATATGACCTTATTGTGTTGCAAGTGCCGTAAAAATCTGACAAAAACAATGATGCTGTAGATATGTCGTGAACTTTCAAGACTGGAATTGTGAATAATACTGGGAACAAAGGTGATAGGTCGTTGCAGTTGTGTCTGTTACCATAGTTACCTATTGAACATGAGTTTATTACATGCTGAATGCTTCCGGGGAAGCTGAGAAGGTCTCTGGGTGCTCTAGGGTCTGCTGGGCTAATGGTGTAGATTGTAAAGTGCACACGGCTTGCAGTGATTATCCCTGTGTACCGGGTGCTTTTAACTGTATAACCATGTCTGGACGGTGGCAGCGCCCGGTAGTCGAGGTCCGTAACCATGGGTACCACCGCCCGATGCGCAGTTATTATTGTATTATAGTACGAGCCAAATGTAAAAAAGTGCGAGCTAACAAGCCTTTAGCTTGACCCAGAAATCTAAGATAAATGAATTCTATGTCTTTATTGATCAGTTTGACACGAAACAAGCGGTTTTAAAAACGTAATATGTCGGTTCGCATTTCCACAAACTCAAGAGAATTAAGGGGAAACGTGATTTTAAATTGCATGGATAAAGAGTTAAACAACTGTCAGTGGGAGTTTGTTTGATCATCTACGATGTTGTGGTGGTTTATGTAGTAGATGTGACTGTCAGGGGAAAGTGTGCTCAATGATCGGGTGACACTTTGAAGTGAGCCCTGAATGGATGTTTGCAATGCTGAATTCTTTGTATTGAAATGTTGACAAGTGTGTGTGTGTGGGGTGGGGGGGGGGGGGTTTCAATATTTTACACACATAGCTTGTTTTTTTAATAGACCCACGGCCACCTTTCTGACAGTTGTGTTGTTGGGAATTGTTCTGGTAATAATATGTTAACTGTCCACTTCCTTAAAGGGTATGTAACCAATGAAAACCGCTGGAACTTATTTGATTTGCAAGAAAATATGTTTTGGTTTATACTGCAAGTGCAGTGCACAGACTATGTTCAGTAACTTTGGAATGTTGCTACTTGTAAGTGGGAGTAGAATCGTGCCAGAACACGACTGCTGCCACGTTCAGCACTTTTTAAGGACCCACAAGCAAGTGTTGAGTTCCTGCGTGCTGTTGGCATCGTTGACCGCTTATGACGCCACAGCGTCAGAAGAGAGAGAGAGAGAGAGTGAGAAAGAAAAGTGGGAGTAGAGCATTATGAGGCCCCCACAGACGTCCTGAGGTGGAACTGAATTCTGCTCTACTACGTACCTCTCTCCTAATTCTTTGTTTCTTTTTCACTTCTTTTTCTTCCTGTCTTCTTGTGTGTCCTGATGTCTTGACCTTTGACCTGGTGCTTGTTTCCATTCTCTTTTGTCTCTTCCATGTCTGTACTTAACCACTTCCCTACCTACCGATCTGACAGTCTGACGGTCTGTCTGTCTATTTGTCTGACAGTCTCACTGTCTGTCTGTCTATTTATCTGTCAATGTCTAACTTTCAGTTCCCTTCAACATCTGTGTTGGAAGAGATCTTTATAGGTTTTTTTGGTTTTTTGGTGACATTTTAATCTTGGTGATTTATAGTAACAGTCTAACTGTTGAATGATGATCCATAGGTAATAATAGAAGTATATTAACAACGTTTATATATGTATATATATATATATATAAATGATAAAGGTCATGGTGGAGCAAATAGTTCAGAGGTCAGGTGTCAGTCGTGTTCTCCAAAGTCCTCAAAGACTGCTGAAGTCATGGAAGAGAATTTTTCTGTGAGAGCAATGTGACATCATTGCACATTGATCGTACAACTGCTTATTTTGTTAATGATGATGATGATGATGATGATGATGATGATGATAATATGAATTACACATTATCGCGTTTAGCCTCAGTGGCTGTGACTTTTGAATAGACTGCGATGAAGTGACATTTTGTGCGACTGTAGCGCGCTGTTATTGGTGATGATGTTTGTCATGACACCAAGGCTATCTTGTCATCACACATGATAGTGCTGTATTCTTTTTTCCTTCAGCTCATGACTCTCCCCCCCCCCCCCCCCCCCACCTCGCCCTTCCATCCTTCAGCCATTTGCCCCTATGTCAAAGTGTACAGACCAGTGGCAAATTCCTGTTATTTTTTTTTCGAGTCGCTGAAGCCATGTCAGATTTTTCCCTGTGAATCTAGTCCTTATTTTTTCCCCGACTGTCGCTTTCAACTTTTATTTAACTGTTTGAGGTGATTTTTTCTTTGTATTGTTTGGTTATGTTTTAAAAAGTGATATTGGCTGTTACAGTTCTTTAAGGTCATGAATGTTTGAGGGCTAAAGCTTTAATCAGAAAGAGAGAAAAAACAAAAAGAACAGGCAGAATTCAAATACCTTTGACACTTTCATGGAAACATTCAACAGAATGTTGAAGCAATATGTAGATACCTTTTGGGTGTGCTGCCAGCTACTTCTGCTTGAAATAATTTTCCCTAGGATATTCGTTCTTCTGAAAAAAATGTTACTCACAATCATTTTCAAACTTTTGCTTGGACTTTGGATTTTTTTCCCCAATGTCGGCAAAGCGCTTGCTTACTGCGATTGTGAAATGAAGTAATTTTGGTTTGCTTGAACTGTGAGTGGTTTATTTTTGTGTGTTTTTATTTTTGTTTTTTTGTTTTTAATGTTTTTCATTTTGCCATTATTTTGGTGAGCAAAAACACGTGCTGTCTTCTCCTACCGAGGGCTCCAGTAAGTAAACCAGACAAACCTCATTCAGAACCATTCTATACGATTGTTTTTTCTTCCAGAGTTCTTGTACATTCCATACCTTTTACACACTGTGTTACTTTGAAGTGCAATGGTTCATGGCTTGTTGTGATGGTGGGTCTCTCTCTATGGGTGGCTGGGCACGAGACTCCCTCAAATGGCAAACTGCATACTGGCGTTTGTGGGAGTCCAGCCATCAATAATTAATACTGCCGTCATTTTAAAAAATACAGTATGCGCAGTTTTTATAATTTTGCAAGGGAGCCGGAAAAATACTTAACATTGTTACTAAGAAAACAAATTCTTTGTAATTAAGTAAATATTTTTAAGAATACAATTTTGATTATTTACTTCCTTATTATCTTTAAAGTTAAAGCAAATGATGTTTTTATTGGTAACAACATTCAGGGTTTTTTTTTGGCTCTCCTGTAAAATTGTAAAAACTGCATATAGTGTACTTTAAAAAATGCCGGCAGAATATGTATGAAGAGAACAGGGTAAAAATGGCTGAAGTCACAAACTGGAAGTTGTGAGCGTGCCAATTTTAAAAGCTTGTGGACTCAAAACTTCATATTTTTGTTTGACTTGCAGTTTATTGTTAAGTGTTGTTGAATGGGAAATCTAACAACAAAAATCAACCAAAAGTTGATGAACAGAAATACATTATGAGTTAACAAGCGTTCCAAATTGGTACCCTCACGATTTTCAGTTTTTGACTACCATCATTTTTCCCCTGTAGTCTTCGTATATATGTCCGTGGTGTTGGATGCAAACTGGCACAAGTCCAAACAGGTGTTTTGTCGTACTGCACATGAAAAAGACCTGTCTGATTCTGTCTCTCTTCATGTTTTCTGCCACCAGTTTTATCTAGTGTGAAGGCTGTTTTAGCACCTACGTGCACGCTCCACTCTTATAGAATTTCTTGTTCTGTGATTGGATACCCTAAATTTTTTAATTTTTATTTTTAGAATCTCAAACTTGGGCCATTTTGCATCCGACACTATGATTTTACTGCAGATCAGTTGGACGTCGTATGTTCGATTTGTATCAAAATTTGAATGTAATCCTGTATGATGATAATCTGTATTATAAGATACATGGAAAAAAGTATTGTGAACTGTGTTTTATAATCGTCTGTGGAATTTTCTCTCTCTTTCTTTGTGTGTGTCTTTCTCATATCTCTTGTCAGCCTTCAGTTTAAGCGGCTTTTTTAGGCTTTAAAGTTTTGCATAATAGAATACATAAAGTAATTCTAGAAGCAAAAAAAAAGAAATGTACATACCGCTTGATTTATCAGATACTGAAGCTGTGATGTGCTGTAGTCTAGGACGGAGATGTGTGTGTGTGTGTGTTTGTTTGTCAGTGTCAGTGTCCGTGCTGATTGTGTGGGCTTGGGGAAAAAAGACTACGACATGCATTAGTTTGTCTGAAAATGTTCTTCAAAATATGTGTATGCTACGTTGTTTTCTGAAAATTAGAATAGTTCTTCTAATGTAATGAGGGCTTTGAG